TGCTCTTCATTATGGATCTCAGTATCTCTGCCATCAAAATTCCTAAATCATTACATCTGAGTCTATTGCTGTATTAAATGTATATGTATGTGTTATTTTTATTTCTCATCTAACAATAGAATAATTAGAGGAAAATTATTATTAATAATTAAGGTAGGTATAATCGGTAGACTATAAATAATAATTAGAATAATTAGAGGAAATTATTTTAAATGAAGTACAGCAAAAATTTGTATAATTTAATAAGAAATACAAGGAAGTGTGGAGTACACATCAGATTTATTTTTAAAAAGTGCTATATAATGAACAAAATCTCTGTTTGTGTAATGTAACAAATTAAAATATCCTCCAATTAAGAATTATTTTAATGAAAATAACGATAATTTATAAATTTGCAGAATTTGATTAGTTTATTAATATAAATTTCATTTAAAATGCCTAAAATAATGTCAGCGTATTTACGTATTAGTTATTTATTTTACAGCTTTATTTCTGGCAGATCGTTTTTTCTAAACATTACTACAAATCCTCTATCACGAAATTGTTAATATAAATCCCAGATCACAATCGCCACGTCATCAAATTAGTGCTGTATGTATAATTATAAATATGAGGTAAATGGATGCAAATTAAGAATCTACGGAATAACCTTGATGAGATAAATACAAAAGTACTTCCCCACAAAAAAGAGCCTTACGTAGCTTTTACATAATTCAGGAAGTAGGAATGGCAGTTTCGAGTTTAACTTTGTATGCCAAAACAGCAAAGCGTGTTTCACTGTAACCGTTCAGAGATGGGCATTGTATTGTGAAATATTCAAACACCTGCCACAGAAGCAAACAAAACTTTAAAAACGGGCGACCCTGGGGAAAAAAAAAAAAAAAAAAAAAAAAAAGGTTTGTAAAAAGAAATTCAATCTGAAATTAAAGCACTTATTTTGCTGAATCAAAAAATAAACAGAGAAAATAAAATAAAAGTTTTAAAAAGGATTACATAAAATTGGCCTAAATTTCCTCTGTGATATTTAAAAAAATTATGTTTCCTGTTTTGAAATATTTGCATTTTAAAACTATTACTCCTGCTACGCATCTTGGGTTATAACGCTTAATAACTGTCCATAGCATATGCTATTATGAAAGTATTTCAGTTCAAATACATTAAGTTGAAACCACATCAAAGCAAAACTGCAATCTGCAAATTTTTGCTTCGAGGAAAACGTAGTTATTTCATTTGGAGAAGAATCAAATTATCGAATTAGAGAAGTTCTGAGAATTTAGAAAGTATTTGAAGCCTCATTACACCGCCCTCTTCTTTGATAATTTTCATAAGCTATAAAGAACAGAACAAATTACTATAATCCTAGTTTATAATGAATTATAACTAATTAGTTAACGTTATTTTAGCGACTGAATTTATGAACGTAAAGTACAAGAGAATTCATCAGTAAAAGGTGAGTACGGTAAAAAATTAAAAAACTTTTCCTTTCTCAGTTGTCATGTTTTCTTATTTTTCTATATTTTTCATACTTTCGCAGTTGCCAAATCCATTGCGGAATAAGAAAATCTGTAAAAATTCAGATTATAATGTCGCATCAGGAGGGGTTATTAAGGTTTTTCATACTCTCTTTGAGCTGGTCATTTATCTTTCCGCTCTTGGATTCACTCCTGCTGACACAAAAAATTTTGTTTCTATTATTAAACGTCACTTTTTTCAAACTTCGTGATATAAAATTCAACAGCAAAATCACACAATTTTTAAAAGCGACATATTGTGTTACGTATTATGATGCATTTTTTAGCATAAAAGGCCTTTTATTCTATAACTTCACTTTTGGGTAGAACCACCTATTTTGCACTACATTTGTTGTCCGTTTCACTTTACTAATAATTAGCCTTTGGCTAGGCGTCCGCCTAAAGTAGTTGCTATAAAAAAGAAAAAAATATATACATGCTTTTAATAAATTCGGCTAGTTTAATTTCACAGGTCCAGTTGATAATTAATAAAAGAGATAAAGAACTACGTTTATTGCTTTTAAATCGCTTAGTTTGTTCGCTTAGTTAGCTCAATAACAGGGAAATTAAATTTAAAAGAAACTTTCGCTTCGACTTCGCAAATGGCAACAAACTAGAGCGTGGAAGTTAACAATTTTTTTATTTGGGATATCTTTAGAATTTCCACTCAAGTGCTAAATGTTACCATACATATTTTTATATTCATTATAGTTTTTTGTTTGTTTGTTTGTTTGTTTAAAAATAATACACGGCGATAATATTTGGTGACAACGCTTGAAAAGAGGTACGGAAAGAAAGCGAGGTTCGAGATTAATAGCACCTCTGGTGCTAAAAAGTTAAATTTTTAACTAAAGCCAAAATTAGAGGGTATGCTACTAAATTGAAAGGGAGAAGAAAAAGAAACGAAAAGGAAATAATAATACCTTAAAGAGAGTCTAAAAGTTTCAGATTATAGGTTATGAAAACTTCAGAATACCATCTAATGCCCCCAAGATGGATTTACAGTTTAAAGTGTATAAAATTTTAAAAAATTTCAAAAATATACAAACATCAAACTTTTGTTCTGAAATAAAAGTAATACTTTCTAACTGCTGCCAACTCATAAAATTAAATATTTATTAGTTCAAAGGGGCTTTGTCCCTGAAGGACTATTGTTTTCATTTTGCGATTTTGCGTTGGTTCACTATAAATTTTCGTTTCACTTTTCAAACTGTTGTCACCAAATGCTAGAGTCCTGCATTATATTTGAAGAAATTAAATAATGAAAAATATGCATAAATGTATATATATTTCTCGCATTGTGATAAAACAAAGGAAGCCATCGAATTTTGAATGACGTAATCCTCCTGCGAATATGGGCATGTGGAGGCCCAAATTTGAAACTTGGAATTTGTTTTATTGTCGATTTCATATTTTTTTTTAATTTAACGAATTTTTAATTAACAAACTCAAGGATTTCAAATCGAGTAATGGCAACGTTGTACAGAAAAACATTTTTATCTCCAGCGCGCGAGACTCTGTATCGGAAGTTCTAAAGATATGCTCAATTTAAAACTATTTTGCGATATTGCTGTTGAACTGAATTTGATGGTTTAAGTGCGAAGAACGTGATAATTAATAAATAAAGGTAACACACAAAATGTTAAAAAAGCGCTCCTTTGGACCTAATTTAAAATCTGAAACCTTTCAGATTTTTATCTCCCCCCCCTTTTTTTTTGTCGATTAAAATTAAAACTCATCTTAAAAAAAAATTATATTTAAGTTTTCTTTCTTTCTGCATTACTTTTTTAATGTAAAATAGTATAAAATATCAAAATATTAACAAACGTAAATTTCTGTTAGGAAAAAAAACGGAGGGCAACAATTTGTAAAGTATTTTTAAATTAAATCCTAAGTTTTGAAACTTATTTTAGAAAACAGGTAAGATGTTATTTTTATATATTTAAAATAGTAAGTTTTAAAATTCCAATTTTATTAACTTTGTGTATTTTCGTGTAATTGGTTCTCCCAAGCCATGTCTACAAGTTCAAGTATTTCATTTTTAACATTAATAATTGTGTGTAAATAATGCAATCTGTATTTTTCTTCATTGCTTTGGACTATGGAATAATGAAAAATATAAAAATTTATTTCATTATAAGCTAAATTTTAGCTTAATTACGAACTTTAACTGATTTCTGCTAACATCGACCTCGACCAATTAGGTGCCCTCTCAAGACCACGTGACTTCTTGTCGGTTAGCCTCCACACCAAATGTATCGACCGACGAGTTATGTTTTTAAGGTTTGAACTTTACTAAATTCATGAACTTTCATTATTATTTTTCGCCTTGTGCGACGATGTACAAGTGCACATCTTTCATTATTTAAACCAAGTAAATGTCTAAATGGTTATAAATTTCAGTGTACTGGTAAAAACTCTTAGTAGTTGATGCCAGAAATAAAGATACGATCAAAGATCAAACGATTCCAATAATACTGTCAATAAGAAGTAATGAGCCTCATTATTATAATCTAATTTTATGATGTGCCGATATTAGTTTTGAAATGTTATGACATGAATGAGTTTCAAGGCATTAGTTGCCTACTTTATTATTATTATTAGTTATTGTTATTTTAGTTATAATTTCTAGCGTTAAATATGCCATCAGCATCTTGGTTAGTATGAATCAGAAAGGCGGAGAGAAAAAAACTGGCAATGGAAAAAAAAAAGGCGAAGAGACAAAAGTGTGTTGGGCTTGGACTCGGTTAATCTGTGTCTATGTTTACAAATAATGTTTTCGAAAATGGAGAGTAATCAAAAACAATCCGACGTATATATTTATAGACGTATATTCGAGACGGATCATTGGGAACTGAAATCAAGGATTGAATACTGGACAGAACACAGGTATCTTATTTTAATTGAAAGCATTATTAGATTTCGTTCGATAATCCAGTGCTTACTAGTATTTAATTGTAACATTCCGTTTTTCAATGGAGTGGGCATTAAATTTTCTGTGAAACCATTAAATTCTGAGTGATTGTGCATTTTAAATATATCTAACTAAAAGTATGCGCTAAGTTCTAAATCACCGACACTTAAACTATCATATGCACCCCATCTGATGATCTCAGACTTAATGGTCAGGTTCCGTGGGTAGTTTTTCAAATGAAATCTCATTTAATTTTACAATGAAAAGTACAATAATAATCCGATGATAAATTAATTTAGGGATCCTGCTAAATGCATATAGTTCTAAATATGTCTTTTGAATTCAAAAAGTTTAAGAGCCGCTGCTGTATATACTTTCATTTCCGCTAAAACCAAAAAGTACATTTTCCTGGGGTTGCCAGTTGTAAAGATCGTAAGAATTAAAAATCAAAAAACGCGCTGCATTCGTTTGATTTTCGCCTTTGCTGCGTGACCGCAACTTGAGGGAATAGGTCGTGGCATGCATGCCCATTGGTTGACACATTGACCAGATCATCCTTCTGAATCTCAGCGGTGGCAGCACTAACGTGTTTGACCTACTCTCGCCTGTAGTTGAGGGAGAAAACGAGTCCAGGCTTCTAGCTCGAGCGGTGAAAGTAGTGTCTAGGATTCATTCGAAAGCGAGGTTAGGAGAGTTTTGCAGAAAAGCCCGCGGATACGCAAACAGGTAAGCGATTTCGTCGTTCCACTTCTCGATATCCGGTGTTTCTGATTTATGTTTTTATTCAAGAATAATCTGAGGCGTTTATTTCTTTTGACTTAACGGAGAAGAAAAAAAAAAGTTCCATTGTTTTGGAATTTTAATATCACATTATTTAATATCGGAAGTGTGAATGCTTATTGAATGAAAGACACTTAAATGCTGGGGATATTTTGAACTCTTATTCCCAATTCTTGTTTAGATTTTACCTTTCAATCACGATTAAATTTCTAATGCAGGAGATAAAATTTTCCCAATTGTAGGTTGAAGAAAATATTTATAATTCTGTAGCAGCTTTCTGAGGGAGTTTTTAATCCGTTATTTAAACATATTTATACTAAAAATATCCTAAAACTATTTAAGTAACATACTTATTATTTTAATATTCTTTATTTAAAATGATGATCAACTAATGGAATCAAATGCAATTTGTTTCATTTAAAAGTTTTAAACTAATTTTAAAACTAACAAAGTTTAAAATTTTTTTATAAAAGTGCTATTTGTTATTTTCGGAAATATCTTCTAACTGAAGAAGAAAAAAAGCTCGCATGCAAATGCAAATTTTCGTAATTGTGATTTTTATTCGTGATATTGGAGTAAACAAATCATGAAACTTCCTTTTTTTTGGGGGGGGTGGGGTGGGGGTAAATTACGCGTCGGCTTAATTTGTCATATCTGTATCCAAATGAAATTTTAGCCCGTTGCTAGTATATACCTTTTCACTTTTTTCAAGTAAATTATGAATATTCTTCCAGAGATAAGATTTTTAAAAAGACGCCATAAACTTCAACTCTGGAGTCTTGGGAAAATGGAACATCTTGACAAAAAATCACTTAATTTTCTTTAAATTTTAAAAATTAGGAAAAAAAAAAAAAAAAAAAAAGACTTGAGTGCTCTTAGAAGGTAGCTAGCCTATCTTTGAAGATGCACATACCACAATTTCAGAAATACAAATTAGAATTTAGGGAACGGAGGAAAAACTTGCGAGCTTCAATACGCGACTTGGTGATAGTACAATAATCAAAAGGACAGTATTCGATTTTTCTCCGTACAGGGAAAATATTTAAATAAAACTTATATGGTTGAGTTTTATGAAACCATAAATTGTACATTTTGTGAAAGTTTTCTAGTATATAAGTAGTTACTCAAAGAAATAGTTTTAAGTAAAATGCTCTCAGAAAATGAGGATAATATCAAAGACAGTTCCATTATTAAATAAGCCTTGATTCCCTAGTTAATGTTTTCAAATTTGAGAATGAAAGCCAAAAATACACAAGGCTTAAACTTGGTTAAATACTATAAATTTTCTTTTCAGTTGCAAATTCGAAGATAGTACTTACCTTATTGCAGAGTGATAATTCTAAGATTTAAATAGAAGCATCGGTGAAATTATACTTTTTATGAATTTTTCAAAACAAAGTTTACTTATATTAAGATAAAATATTATCAGTATTTTAACTCTGTATAATGAAGGTAATGAATAGCATATTACAAATCCTAAATGCAATTCCCTTGATATTCTTAGATATTTCCAAATATATCAACGAAAGGAAACATTTGGGAATAACAGTCTTGAATTCGACAACGGTATAGTAATCTATACGACAGTATTTTCAGTACTGTACTCGAAAAGAAAAATTAAACAATATAGGGTGTATTTTATTTATTCATTTACATCCGCCATTGGCATAGTGGGTGAAACCGCTGAATACTGGAAGTTTGTTCTTGGTTTGAATCTCGGTAAACTGCGTCGCTTTCTGGTGCATTCTTCATGTATAATGGAAATACGAGCACTAATTGTCGTTAGAAAGTTCGTGAAGTCTTTCATTTTGGTATGTAGGCCCACCAGCCAGAAAGATATAAAGCCACTGAAAACTCGGTAAAGTCGCTGAACACTGGTGGTTCAGTCCGAGGTTCGAATTCCGCGAACGGGCTGGCTGCATAGGCGTTTTTGTCGTTTTTTCCAATGTGTATACGAGCCAGTTTTCCTTAGAAAGTCCATCACGAAGATATTCCTTCCCTTAGACAGATAGCCCTCGAGTGCTTTGCCGTATTTATAAAAGCCAAACCAATGATTTTGGCATGAAGCTTTGCCGCTCATCTCAACTTTTGAATAATTTCATTCAATTTTCAGTATCTTTAGCATTTCTGTTTCAGCTTTAAAAGTAAGGTATTTTAACCTGGAATACTAAATTTTACAGATATTTGTTTTCACTTTTTATATCAAATTACAGGTTAACCTGAAAACTTTTAAAACTGATACAAGTCGCTCTTTTGCAGTATTGATAAAAAATGAGATATTCTGTTAGAATCTATCTATGAAAGAAGTTTAATATTTCCTTTATGGGGCGCACCGTTTCCATCCTAAAGCCCCTTTTGGAATCTTTGGAATATGGTAACAGGTAGTTTGGCGACATTTTGGTAAGGCGATAAAGGTTACTAGCTAGGACTTTAGCAGTGTACGTGGATAAAGTCAAGAGTGTGTGCAATGCCATTTTGTGCAATTCTGGGATTTTTTTTTAAGTGAAAATAGGTCAACGTGTACATGGATACCGTGTATGTGCAATTCTTAAAAACGCGGTAAGCAGTTTGCTATTCTGCACTTTCTCCCAATTCTTCGTCATGAGTTAAGCACTTTTGTTCCATAAAAGTTCTAGCATAAGCGTAATTCGGCTAGCAGATTGTTGGAAAAAAATGTTGAGTAAAAAAAAAAAAAAAAGCCTTTACTTCGTGAAAACAAAATGGCGTCCAAATAAAAACTAGCAGGTTGCTGTAGCAGGGTTGGTCGACAAATTTTCGCCAAAAAATCGCCGAGTTACCATAATCCAAAGATTAACCCTAATGGCTAATGAAAAGAAATATAGCTGATGTAATTTGCTGTGGTTGGAGTACAAAGGCAAACAGATAATGTTTATCAAAATATCACTGTTGATATTTTATCTCCAAAACTACCTTATTAGCGTCAAGCATTATCTCTAAGCCGGGTATAAGTAACGTGTGTGTGCACAAGAATATTAATAATTTTAATTCGTTTAGATTTTCCCGCTATACTGAGGCCTTTTTAGGGTTTCCCTAATTGTAGCTTTTATAGCCTTTACTAGTGCCCGAAAGGTTGAGTTGGTAACTTGTGCGATAATTAAACGGGTTTAGAAGCACAACATTTTTTTTTTTTTTTTTATATATATATATATATATATAATGCTATTATCATTTGACGGTTCTGCTTTGGTCTGTTGGGCGTCAAGCTCTATCTTTACAGAATCTTACAGAAGTAGTATTATCTTACAGAAGTAGGTAATACAGAAATTTTATAAGTATGAACGTCTGAGTTCTGCTCGTAATGTATAAAATCGAGGTGTTATTTTGTGTAAAAACTTCTCTATAAGAATGCTGAGTAATTACTTCAACCCTTTGCAGTCGAACTTATCGCCTGAAGCTTTCAGCAGCTTTTTTTTTTTTTTTTTTTTTTTTTTTTTTTTTTTTTTTTTTTGCTGTATCTGGCTATGTAATGTGCTGTTTAGTTGAAGGTAAAATTTGCGCATAAAATTTAAAAGGCAAACTATTCTTAACGTTATTTTTATTATTATCATAATGTGAGCACTTATTAAATGTAAATTTTAATTGCAAATTATTTGCAATTTTCAGGGGTATGATCTCGTTTAAAGCAATTAGCAGGATGTAGACCTGGTTGATATTTGCAGGTTTCACAAAACTGTGTTCCAGTTTTTTTGGGTTGAACAGACAAAGCAGTTTCCGTTAACACTATCCGTCACTAATATTACCGATATCATCTGACACGTTTGAATCACTTTCCCTGGAACCACTATTATTGCAATACCTTTCCTTTTTCTCTTCACTGGTGGAATAATGCCACTGTCATCAGAATCACTTCCATGTTCACACACTCACTAAATTCATCATCACTATTATCTTGAAACAACACTTCTATCACATTTTTCTCCATAGTTAGTAGTATTTTTTTTTTATTTTTATCGGCCAAAGAAATGAATAAATACTGAAATCAACGAAACATCAGATCATATGCAACTAAAATTTAGCTGTAAATTACAATTGCGTGTTTATTGGTGTGCTTGAGAGACACACTTTAAGTACGACGCCAAATTTTGGCAGTGCCTGTCAAAATTATTTCAAGTGCAAAGAATTAAAAAATTAAATGCCAATATTTCAATACAGACTGCTGCATACTTGGAGAATAGGAACTTGTGTCATTATTTTGTAACTTCGGACCTTTCCATACCTGAGAAAGAAAATTTTACAGTTTAGATTTAAGTAACAGGATTTAAGTAACAGGTGTACTATTTGAAGGATGTGTACACACTTTGTCTTCAGAAGAGCATGCGCTGGATCCATCAATGAAACCTTAAAATATTCAAAGAAATAAAACTCTTAAAATGGAATGTTTGTACCCGCATCTTTAAAACTTACTAAATTTCATAGTTTTTGGAGTGATGGAATAGGATTCGTTAGGCGGGAAAGTAACCCAAGAAAAATATGTGTACAGTTTTGAACATTATATCGAAATTTTAAAATTCAAGTTTTTAGAAGATAAAAAGCATTTTGTATTGAAGCTTCTATATCCAAGTTGTATTATATTTCACAAACGCGCGAAAGCTGAAGTCATATTCAGCAAAATGTTTGGTTCAACAAAAACTCCAAAAGCTGAGAACTCATAAAAATTTTCTCTTAGATAACTGGAAACATTTTGTATATTTCCTATTAAAAGCGTTGAATTTTTTCATAGATCTAATTGATAAGTTCATTTGTAACAGTTCTCGAGAGAGCTAAACGGCAGATTTTTTTAAAATTAAAACATTCAGAATATGGCAATTGTTCTTTACATCTCGCATGTAAAGATTTTCAGCATTCCTTTACATGCCTTTAGCTTTTACAATTCTGTATAAACATCATTACCGAATTGAAGTTTCGAATTTCATCTTAAGATATTG